TCTCTCAGAAAGCCCACCTCTGTCAGCCAGTTGACAGCTTTCGTTTTCATCGACCTGTAATAAGTAAAGGCTTCATACTGAGTCACTGTGTGATCACATACATATTGATCGCTGTCACTTTGCTGACAGTCCTGTTCAGACTAATGGCTCCCACTGTAAGGTTTGTCAGAACTACATGTCCTTAATGACGCTGGCTCACAATAGAGCTAGAATATTCAGCTGTGTGTGTGGGTCTGGCCTATTTTAGGAGCTTCCTTCTCCTACTTTTTTCTGTGTAGAAGCTTACACTTTATGTAAAGGAGGAGGTTCGTTTTTTTAGGGCAGTTTTAATACAAAAAAGTTAGATTTTTTTTGGTCAGAACCAGTTATTAATATAGGCAAAGCTAAACACATAATCCAGATCAAAGCTAGACATTGAAAATGAGGACTGTGTACTGCACAGCTGCTGTTGTCCCCCCTCACCCTGCACCCCGAGGGAAAGCATGCAGAGATTTGTAATTTTATTTTTTTATGAAAAAAAAAAAATTAAAATAATTAATCTAAAATGCCAAATCTGTGATCCAGAATACCTGCAGATATTGATATTAATTCCATACCATACTCTCCTTTTTCCTCTCTTAAGTTTTAAATAACACATTTATGAATGTACATTAATTAATGTAACGTAATAAGGCTCACAACCTGAGTTACACAATCATGCTGCTGTTTTTTTAAACTCTCTTTTGAAACTTTTCTCTTAAAGTTTTATAGCTGTTTTGATTGATCCGACTTCCACAATAGAATTTAACTGACAGCTAAATAATTACTATTAAATATATTTGAACTTAACCTTAAAACAGCAATCTTTATTAGAAAATGTGAGCACAGTAGTTTAGACGTGCGATCTGTTTGGGGCGTTGAAACAACACTGTTTTCTCCTTTGTTTGTACAGTACCATTGGCTGTCGTGATAACAGGGCTAGGCTAATCCACTGTCACTCTCGATTTAGCTGCTGTTTACCTGACACACTGCAGAGGCTCTAACGTCACTAATGCCCTGCTGCACAAAGACATGCTGTGGGCTGCTGTTCAGATCAGATCACTCTGATCCATAGGACAATCCTTATTGGGCCATGATAAAGATGCAAACTCTGGATGTGCTTCTTTAAACACCCCCCCCCCCCCGGCGGGCCATCACTGCAGATGTACCTGCTGAGGACAGGATCCTAAATCAAAGCCACCGCCTATTAAAAGTGTAATCAGGCACACGGTGGTCAGACCGCAGGTCTGGTTTGACCCCATCAAGTCTTAATGAGGTCCACCGAGTCGTTAACCCACACATTTAAATAACATGCATCAATATTAATGGGTTATTAATGACTCGGAGCAATTATGTATACAGTGAAGTGGACAAAGAGAGTCCACAGAGACACTGAGAGCCAGGGAGGAAAAAAGACGTACTGAACAGTCCATTATACTGTGTGTGTGTGTGAGAGAGCGTAGACTCTAAAAAGTATTATGAAGTAATACTGGCTGAGTTTTTAGGAAGTTTCTGTCCATCCACTGTGTTTATTCCTCTACCAATAAACCACAGTATCTGTCATAGTACTCCCTGGTTTCTATTGTCCCAATAAGAAGTTCAGTAGTCAATACCAATACCGGTGAAATTCCACGATTCTCAATACCACGATAAAAATGAAAAAAAAAGAAGAAAAGCCATGTACTTATAAATTCACTACTTTAATAAAAACTCTTTGGAAGTGTCAAATATTTCAGATCACTGTTCAACATCATTTCGAAGAGAACATAAATAACAGTACTAGCTGCCAAGAGACTTTATATTCAAAAAAGAACAGCAGTAGCCTTTAGCCTCCCAGTTTATAAAAACAAACAATACTGTGCCTATAAATATACTCATAACAACAATATAAAAAGAAAAAGAACAGCAGTGGCTGAAAGTTTGTTTTAAGATAAAGATTGAATTCAAATATCATTAGCTCAGACACAGACGTCTCAGAGAACACCTCATGATGTCACCTGAGGCCATTGTTACATCACCTGCACCTGTCCTTTAGGTGTTTGCAAACTTGATTGCAAAGTATTTCCACACGCAAATTCTACTCCCTGCTTTATCAATAGGCCGAGGTCATGCATCGCCCCTCCACCCCCTCAGCCCCCACAGGTCACAGTTGTGAAGGCTCATAGGTGTAGTGTCATTTATCTGGAGTTAAGTGATTTTCAGAAGCTGCTCACTCTTAACTTCCATTTATTAACCCTGACCATCACAGTATGAATGGCATTGATCTTCTGGCCTTTATTTGAAAAAAGTAATACACTAAAAGAAATGAAACAGCTGTCTGTCATAAGGAAAGGCCTGGCCTTTGCACAGTTAGGCTGAACGGGGCCTGGCAACAGAAACATTGTAGAGTTTAGAGCATTCTGTTGACTGCATTTTCTGCAGGGCTCCAGGAGATCGACAGCGATGGTGAGGTGAAGGATCTTCACTTTGTGTGAACTCATAAACTCAGGGCTGGAGGGCAAACTGCGGTGAGTCTATTCATATGCAGCTCCCTCCACAGAAAGGTCTGTGCCAGCAGTGGAGATGGAAATAGCTCACTATCAGTACGAGTGAGTGTGTGGGAGTGTGTGTATGACAGTGTGTGTACGTGTGTCTTCTCAAACACAGGCGCGTGGGGATAAGGTCGTTGGCATTGAGGAGTTTTGTGTGTGTGTGTATTTGTGTGTATCCTTTCATTTTAGGCCTTTTTTTTTTGCATGTTGTGACTGATGGATGCGTGTGTGAACACTGTGCGTAAGCAAACGTTTATTTACAGTTTGCAAATCTGCAACATCAAAGCTTTTGAAGGCAGCAGCACAATTTCAACGTCTGTGGGAATAAATCTGGAGAATTTAGCCTTCCAACGGCGGCGGCCCAGTGTGCAGGTTACGAAGTGCTTTGTAAACAAAAAAACAAAACAAAAAAAAAGCAACAGCAATGTCATAAAACATCCAATAAAATCAGACGTGTGCATAAAAACAGCACCAACAAGTCGGACGAGAAAAAGCAAAGGGCCAACGTGCAAAAAAGTGTGGTATTTAATCAAGTGTGTTTGCATGTACAACTAAAAAACAGAGGGAGGGAGAGAGAGAGAGAGAGAGAGAGAGCTTCTCAGCATTCAGCAAAACACACACATGCCTGCAGCTTCACTTTTCAAAAGCCATGAGGTTGGTGCGTGAGGTTAGAAGATGGATTTCAGCTTTAAAGAGGTCACACACTCATGAAAGTAATAGTGGAAAAAAAACACACACGGAAAATGAAAAGGCAGATTCCCCCAATGGAAAGTAAAACAAGACGTTTATCAGGACAGCCATTTCTCCTCTCAGTCGTTGTGTGGGAGTTGAATTTGAGAACAGCTTTTAAATGGTTACATGATGTACATCATCTGCAGCGCTCTAGTTCAGAGCAAAACATGGGAAATGCAAAAATGACAACTCTTGAATAATGAACGGGTGCGTTTGTTTACATTTACCGTCGAACGTATCGTAACTTGAAATTCAAAAACAAACGAATCATGCTAACGGCTCCTGTAATGACTTTTGCCCAGTCTTCTTCGACATCTCGCAACTTTTTTTTTTTAAATAAGCCTAAAATTGAGTCATTTTAGGGGTGAGGAGGTGAGAGGTAGTCGGAGGTACGAACAGTTATACTTTTGTTATGGGGAACCACCCAGAATATCTAAAAAGGTTTCGAAATAGACATCTAGATTGACATCCAAGAGTTCTAATTGACTGGAAAATCCTGGTATTTAGCCTCTGAGTGGCGTATTGTTGCCTACTTTAGACATTGAATTCAGTCCTGAAGACATTTATTGGACAATGATCTCTGTCTGTCAAAGCTGACTATGTGGCCACCTTTGCTAATGAAAACAACGATTTAATAGACTAGGAATATTGCGGTCTTTCCTCCACCTTGGAAACTAAAGGGGAAACAAAATAGTGTTGCGTTGCCTGTCTGCCTTCACATATCTGCAGTAATATCTTCAGTTTATGGATGGATATGAAGTAGCAACTATTTATCCATCTTCTCCTCTCTGTGCTACGATCACTCCGCTCCTGTGGATCTGAGGCACAGTTCTGTGCCACTCGCAGATCTAGCTCCAGCAGTGCCAAAGCAGCACCAGAGCACCAACAACAACAAAAGAAAAAAAAGGTCTCCACTAACCTTCACCTCTTCCTGCATCTGTTTGTGTTTTCCCCCCTCTCCCGTCTGTGTCTCTAACACTGTCAACAACAGACACAAACTTTTCTTCTTCTTCTCAACATATTCTGTCGATTTCAACTTAAGTTGCACGACAGCCCAGTGAGGTTTCCATGTGTCTCTTGTTTTCTGCACTGCCCCACAATCCATCTCTGCCTCCCATCTGTGTCACTTTCTATCTATTACATTTTCACTTGATCTGTCTTTGTAGTTTAAGTATCTTTGACCACAGACAGGAATAGAAACTCATATAAAAGCATTTCCCAACAGCCCCAAAGTGCCTGTTTTTCCCCCCTCTTCCTGTCTGTCCTCGTCCTCTGTTGTTGGCACAGAATCAGAACGTCCTTGTCTGTACTCCTGTTTTCATGTGTAAATTTTCAAACACCTTTAAATGATTGTTTTCTGTTCAGTTGTCAAAGCATGAGGACAGTTTACCTAAATTCAAAATCAAAAGGCTTGTTTTGCGTTAAGGGTGGCTTCATTTTTGAGACAAAAAATACTTCAGACTTGAAGTATAATATAAACATATATTATAGTTGTATTACAAGGTACAAGTTTATGCTGTAGTACATACAAGTTTTTTACTTTTCTACATCATAGTCAACAGTTAACTTTGCAAGAGTGATATTGCATCAGCAAATGAGGCTGCCTTTGTGTTTTTGTACTAAATAGTCATAGTTTTTATACTAACCAAAACAAACAACAGCAATATGACAAATCTTGGTGCTTCTTAATGCATTTCCCTGTCTTTTGTGATTCCTCAGATGGAAAATAATTAACGAGAAAAAGAATAATGAAACCAACAAGGATCAATGGAAGCAAGGGAGGAAAGAAACAAACAATGTAAGGTAAGGTAACCTATGAATCCTTTAGATCCTCAGAACCCTTTGAAGCGTGTAATTAAATATACAGCAAGGCCAAAATATGAGGAACATATGCTTGGAATTAAAAATGCCTGAAAAAGGAAATGTGAAAAGAAAGTATTGTTAAGCTGTGAAACGACCTTATCGATACTTAAACACATCCACTTATAATGGCGGTGTGATCAGGGAGGACGAAAGTGACTTGTGCTGCTAAACAATAACCACAAAATAAGCAGAAAATACATTTTCGTATTGATAGATGGCACAGAAAGAGGTTGAACCTGAGTTGGACATATTGTCCTGTTTCATTTGTCTGGATGTGGTGAACGATCCAGTAACTATTCCCTGTGGGCACAGTTACTGTATGAAGTGTATCATAGCCCACTGGGATTGTGAGGATGGGAAGACCCACTACAGTTGTCCTCAGTGTGAAAAGACTTTCAGTCAGAGGCCTATACCTGTGAAAAGCAACATGTTGGCCGATTTAGTGAAGGAGCTGAAGAGGACTCGGCCTAAAGCTGCTGCTGCCGCTGAAGTAGCGGCTTGTGATGTCTGCGATCAAAGGAAACACGTGGTTACCAGGTCCTGTTTGCTTTGCTTGGCCTCTCACTGTGACAAACACTACCAAACTGTGTGTGAATCATGTTCTGACAGGAAAGTATACCTCCAGAGCAATCTTCAGGACTCTCTACATGATGATGTGAGGAGGTTCTGTCCCTCTGGCAAGTTATGCACCTGTCATCCCAGTCCTTCAGTGCAATATAAAAACCACACAGTCTCAGCTTTAGCTGAAACGAAGAGTGGACAGGAGATCCAGCAGACAAGACAAGAAGACAAGGAGATAAACATGACTGTGTTAGAGCCAAAAACGGATAAACCTGTGGAGCACAGTCAGACCAGTGTTACTGAGCAGGTCCCTGAGATGCCTTATCCACACCACGCAGGGATTTCACAGCAGAGACCTGAGCAGGAGATCCCTTCCTTCCCTTCAGTGTCCGTGACTGTTTCATCAGCACAGTCATCCAGCCTCAACATATTCCAGGACATTACAGGAGTCGTGTATCAGAAGAAAACCGTAGTACAAGACATGGAGTCCGCTGTGCCACAACCAGTACCTCAGACCAGAGCTGAGTTTTTGAAGTACTCACAGGTAATGGCCCTGGATCCAAACACAGCACACACACGTCTGTTTTTATCCAATGGGAACAGAAAAGTAACAGTAATGACTGAGGATCAGACCTGTTCCCATCATCCAGAGAGGTTCACTAACTGGTGTCAGGTCCTGAGCACAGAGAGTCTGATTGGCCGCTGCTACTGGGAGGTGGAGTGGAGAGGTAGGAAGGTTGGCGTAGCAGTTTCCTCCAAAGGGATCCAGAGAGTAGGAGGCTCAGCTGAGTGTGGGTTTGGATTCAATGAAAACTCCTGGGCGCTGGACAGTGGCCCAAACAGTTGTACGTTCTATTACAACAACGTCAGCACCAAACTCTTCAGGAGCGTACCCTCCAGAGTGGGAGTGTTCCTGGATCACAGTGCTGGTGTTCTGGCCTTCTACGGTATCACTGACACCATGGCTCTTCTTCACAGAGTTCAGACCACCTTCTGTGGGGTGCTTCATGCTGGAGTTCGGTTCATCTATCATTCTCCAGGATCCACAGCTGAGTTTTGTAAACTTTGAGTTAAAAGTAGAAACAGGGACATTTTGGTTCTTTTTTTCCATCTCGTTTTTCAATGCATATGGGGAGTGCAAGGATATTAAACCTTTGGGTGAGAAAATATTATCGGTGAAGCTGCAATAACAAAAGGCTGGTCCGAGTCGCAGTCAGTCAGCAGGAGTTCAAATAAACCAGAGACAACCTCTATCTCCAGCTCAGACCTCAGAGCAGCACCATCTCATGATCAGTTTTTTATGTCCAGTTTTTTCATGGCACTGACTGAAATGCTTCAGTAGTCCTGGATATTTAAATATGCTGATCCTGCCGCCGGTGATTGGCTGTAATGTTACCCGTGATTGTGGCCTGCAGGAAAAATACAAATGTGTTTGCCAGTGACGTTCTGGGGTTACATCCTGACCGTGCACGGAATCAGTTTAAGAGCAGAAAGTTGCTTCGTGTTTGACTGCAAAAAGAGCGTACCGCGGCCATCCTCCTCTTAGCATTCAAGTCTGCCTGCGGACGGTACGGAGCCTGAGTGGCTTGTTTAAAAATCTCTACCACTTGACTCCACTTCACCTGAGAGTACCAAGGACAGCGCTGTGTGTGGGGGATTTGAACAGGTAAGTTTACGTTCAGCTACTGTAACTTGCGTTTTGATTAAAGTGGGATACATCAGATATAAGTAGTGTAGCTTTATGTTATGGCTATGTGGCTGGCTAAATTAAAAGCTATCTAAAGAGTGAAAGTAACAGATAAAGCTCAGCTCATCAATTGGGTCAGCTGGTTAAACGGCTCATCTAACGTTCACTATTATGTTGATCTGCTCCTCACAGGAGCCGCTGACACCGATGTAAGGAGGACAAGGCCAGCCAGTGTGTATCCGTTCGTTAAAGGTTTGCTGCCTTTTTCTACAGTGGAGTCTCCATCGTGGAGGTAGGTGAGCTGTAAAGGATATTGTTGAGCAGTTAAGCCTTTATCTCTCAGCCTATGTAATGGTTTTTGAGCAATGGTTGAGCAACACAACCATGCTAATGTTGATGTTCTGTGGTCTAATGTCAATCAATGTGATGATAAGAGAGACAGGGAATCTAAAGAGAGAATTCAGATGTTAGTGCAGTGCATTGCTTGGTAACCACACCAAAGCATGCATGGGAGTATGTAACTATTTATGTAAAGGGTTCGTAAACGTATGTGGGGACGTAACTATTTATGTAAAGGGTTCGTAAATGAGTCTTTAGGTTCACAGAGATTCAAGGACACTGACGCTGCTGGACTGCTCTCTCTCACCCCTGGTCCAGCACTTTTTCAAATTCATAAAGTCATAACACACAGAAAGGTTTCATTCTAACTTTTTAAAATAGTAGATCAAGTGGGTCATGTCTGAAGATTTGATTGCTCAGATTCAGCCGGTGACTTGTAGTTCACTCACTGGCCTGTCTCTCCATATAACAGCAGAGATTGTGCCCTTCTAAGTTAAACAGTGTCAAATGAGTTTTTCTTTCATCACTCCTATGTTTTATTATGAGGCTATTAATTACAGATAGTTCTCGGGCAGACAGTACAATTAAGACAATTTATTAGAAGCACTTAACTGTCAGCATCAAGCTACACTGGACGGTCTTGTGCGGCTAATGAGCCCCTTGTGTGTTTGCTCTTTAAATTTGAAATAAAAGTAATAAAAGAGAGCGGCGATCGCTGCCTGTGTGTTTCGGGTGTAGCTAGCTTTGTTGGGACTATCATCAGGGTCAAAAATACTGTTGTTGTGCAGACTCTTTTGCAGGACAATTTGCAGGCTCCGACTGAGGGAAGGGGTATTTGGAGGTTAAGTGTTTAGTTTGGAGTTAGGATTAGGATTATTGTCAAATAAGACATAGGGTATATTGCCTATAGAAATAGAAAATGTGAGAGCAAAGGACTATGGGAATGTAGCGTTTATGAGAAGAAGGGCTCACAAAAAACAATACTGTACGTGTGTGTGTGTGTGTGTGTTCATATTCATTAGTACAGCTGACTTAAGGCTTTCATAGCTTTCAATTATCTCACCGAACATCTCACTCCTCACTGAGCCCTTGTTGTTATTCATTCTGAGCCACTTCATTTATTAAAGGGTAACCAACATTATGAGACAGTAATAATGAGATCTTAATTGATCACTTTTACTTAATGCCATATTGTGTGTTAAATATTGACATGAAACTGTTAACCTTTGGGGTTATATTTTCTCAGGCCCATAATTTCATTTCAACAATAAATTGCTACAGGGAAGAAATTACGTGTTGAAAATTTTACTGTTTAGTTTTAATTATGTGATGGAATTAACCGCCTCCGGAGCGGTTTGTTGGGTTGGATGTCGAGAAAACATGTAATGTCAGAGCCTGTGTAGGAGTAGAAGCAAAGGGGGCAATGTGTATATGTATATATATATGTGTATATGTATATGTATATATGTATATATGTATATATGTGTATATATGTATATATGTGTATATATGTATATATATATGTGTATATGTATATGTATATATGTGTATATATGTATATATATATTTCAGTTGAGATATACAAATATATGATATGATTTCTGGTCATGATGATCTTTAAATTAAATGAGAAGCAGAAGCAGCTTTTTTTCTCACTATACCATAATACATGCAGTGCTCACTTGAACAGTATAATGGAGAAAGGTATCGAACTCCGGCTTGAACATTTTTATACGTAATATCTTCCTGACTGCAGTATCTTCTAAATGCAGAAAAAAACACTTTTTCCAGTAAATCACCTAAAAAAGTTAATTCATGTGTTAACATTCTCTAACTTGGTGGAAAAGACACCGTTTAATACTTGTGGTTTTAGTAAATAGCATCGTACACAGGGTTAATTAAACTCAATCAGGTACGCTGACACGATCAGCAGAAGATCATGTCCTGGATTTACAAACAGGACTTTCTGTCTGCGCTCCAATTAAACACATAATAAATGAGGAGCGGCTCTGCTGACAGTGTATTACAGCAACCCCCCCTGAACCTGTTTGTCAAACCACAGTTCAGCAGTGAAATACAGGACAAGTCACAGGCTTTTACAAGCCTCAGTAAAGTCACGGCTCATAAATCATGGTGTCGCGCTGCAGCTGTTTGTGCTGTGTGCTGTGATAATGACTCTCTGAATTCTGACAGCAGAGGGAAAAAAACAGAAGAAAATATTATTTGTCGCCTTTTTACCATGGTGTGAGTTGTGTTCCTACAGTCAGTGCGTTTGGCCGAAGAGGCGATCAGATGTTTTGCCACTGGGCATCTGTCAGGGCTCGGAGTCAGCAACCTGACGGATACAGAAACGCAACACACACACTTGTGTTCCACCCCTGAGTCATTAGCATCAGTTTGTGATGACAGCACCTGTCACATGACAGGCGCAGTCTGTTTGACTGCTCATCTCTAGAGACTGTGACTGTGTAGGATCACTGACTGACGGACAGAGGAAATAAAGAAATGAAGAGAGACTGGAGGGTGGACTAATGGACAGACAAATGGGTAGACTGGTGAAAAGTGACTGGTGGACAGCCTGAAGGACAGACTACTAATGTAAAATTTAAGTAATGCATACATATATTTATATGTATGTGCTATATAAAAACTGAAAACGTCACTATAAGATCTGTCAGGAGAACAGTGTTTGGTTACCATGGAGATGAGTGGAGACCATTTTGTTGTTAAGAATTAGAAAAAGGCTATGGATATTGTGGTGTGTCATTGAAAAGAGTGACGACTGACAGAGGATATATGAGACTTTTAATGTTTCCTGTGATCCTGGGCCGTTTTTTATTTGTTTTATTAATTCATTTAGAATCACACGTTTTGATGTGTCTTTTAGCCCTATTCTTGTAGCATAGACTGGGAAACAAGCCATCTGTTCTGTCTGCAGTTTAACGTTGTTGAAAATAACTTCTATTTTTTTCTTTAAATACATTAAAAATACTAAATTGTTTCCACATCCTCAAACTTTTTTTTTTTGCACTGTTCCAAATGTTAAATTAAGATCTGCAGGAAGTTAGAACATTGCCAGTGTGGTTCCTTCCTAACTAAACCATAAGTCACAAACGTGACATTTGACCTGTGCCATAAATTAAAGATGAA